CACTTCCCAGCTGCAATTCCTGCTCAGCGACTTTTACGCGTCATGGTGTGGAGAATGAACTTAAATTTTTCTGAACAGGAAAAAGGGATTTTTCAGGCTGATGCTTACAGCAAAGTCTTCCCTATTGCCTTCTGTTAGAAAAGCATTTAAACATAAGGCTGTGGTACCGTTGTAAGCATTTCTGAGGGAGATAAAAAAATGGAGAACTGCTGGGGAAGTTGAATCAGAACCAGCTGAATAAAGCATTTGAGCTGTGTAAAACACATAAGCTCTACCATGCTATACCATATAGTTTCCATTTAATCAACATGTATTCAAACTACCTGTTAAGTGGAGGATATATGGAATTTATGTTAATATTTTCAAGTCTGTTCCTCTGCCCCTTCAGTGCTCTTTGTAGAAACCAGTTTCATAAAATGCTGGCATTTCTTAATGCTAATAAGTAATGAAAAATCCCTAAATTTCTTCTGGGTTTGCATGCAGATGAATGTCCCTTTCTGCCCAAATCCAGAGGGTGCTTGTGTCATGTGGATTTATGCTGACTGAAGTCCATCTTAAAATCCTCTGATTAAGGGAGGAGAACAGGGGATTCTTCTGTTGTGAGTCATCTCATCTCAGAGCTTGATCCTGCTTCTACAGATGTCAGAAGGAGTTTCGCATTGATTTTATTAATTGAATGTTGTTTCAGTGCTAGGGAGGGCTACTGGTTTAAATTTTGCAGCAGTGAATGGCATCTCATGTGTGTTAAGAAAGACACATGCCTTTGCCTTGTGTCTACCGTGGCCAAAGCATCCCTAAAGTATTCTGTGAGATCATTTACTGAGTGTTACTAACGTAGAACAAAACAATGAGATTCTCAGAGACAAAACTTTGCTTGTAAATGGACCCTGTCAGGGTACTGTTAGAATACTGACCTGCTCCCTAATTATATTTCAGTTGATTGAAGAAAAATTTAGAAATCAAGGATGTTGAAGGGAATCAGGTCACACTCTCACAGTGGATGTGTGTTTCTTGTACTGCTGCAAATTTTGTGATGTTCGAAGTTTTGTAATTATTTTAAAACACAGCTGCTTTCACTGGAGTTTTAGAAATGGAGAGTTGTGAGAGATCAGTGCTGTGTTGTCTGTTGGCCTACTTGGATCTCAGCTGTCTGAGGTGTAGTTCCTGAGCTGGGAAAATGCATGTAGAAAACCTTGGGAATGGGCTGCAGCCTCTCTTGGTGTGTCCAGGACTCGCAGGGGGAAGTGGCAGCCTCGGGTGCCTGCAGCCTCTCCTGTGACAGCCCCGCGACTCCTCCAAAGCACGCTGGGGCCGCTGCGTCCAAGGGGATTTCCAGCTCTCTTGGCTGTTGAGCTGAAGCTCTTTTGGCTGGTTTCCTGTGATCAAATCACTTGATGAGGACAATCAGACTCGGGAGGTGGAGATTTCTACATGGGAGACCGAGCTGAGCTGCTGGAACGCATTGCAAGTCACCCATCAGATGGTTTCCAGCTGCTTTGATTTGATCTGTGTGTGATGGTGAGGAGAACATGAAAGTCACCTGTAAGCAATTCTTCCAGCATTGCTTACATGAGCTGAGCTTCCTGCAGGGGATGCACCCAGGAGCCTGGCTCCCTGTGCTGCTCAGCTTGGGCACTCTGTGCAGCACCAGCATTCCCACCAGCTGTGGGTGCAGCTGTCCTGGCTTGTACCATGCACTGTTGGGTCCAGTTCTCCCTTGGGATGTTCTCCTGCTCCCCTTGTTGGGAGCAGCATCCCTGCAGAGCTGCAGCAGCTGTTGGAGAGGGGGCCAGACCAGGGCTGTGCTCTTGGGCTGTGCTGCAGGTACGTGGTGACCATCCACCTGTTGGGAAGTTGCTCCACATTTGCTGTAGGAGTTGGCGTGGTCTTACAGAACTGGCAGGAGCAGCAGCCAGATGGTCTCTCCAGTTGTTTGGGTTTTTTCCTTGTTGTTGTTTTGCTGCTTTAAAATCTGGAGATTGCTTTCAGTTAGGCAGCTGCTCTCCGTCACAGTGCTGTTCAAAGTAATTGACTTTCCATTGACTTTGGAATTTAGAATAGTGTCTAAATATTGTTGTCAGCTTCATGCTGATTCCTCTCCACTGAGGATGGAGTCGTTTCACTTATGACCTCAAGCTGGACTTGTGTTTTGCTCCCATGGGAACTAAAAATAATAATTATTTTAAGAATAGGTTCTTAATCACTTCCTTCTTTTGATGTACTAGTCTTGTTTAGCATTTTCTAAGAATGTAATTGAAAATATTTTAAACTATTTGTGTTTTAATTTCAGTTTTAATTAGCTCTTTGAAGATGCAAGGAGTGTACCAGACTTGATTACAGTTCCTTTTAGTCTTTTTATAGAAGAGCATTTGCTCTTGTTATTCTGAGTGCAGATTATTAGAGTTTTGTTGCTTTGGCAAACTGTCGAGTCACACAGAGCTGTGAAGAGATGAACATTAAGTTGACAGATTTCTTAGTCAAAGGCATGTGGGCACTTTGTCAGTGCTGGTGATGCATCAGCACATTAATCTCCTGTCTCCAAACTGTTAATGTACAGATGAGAAACAGGAAAAGATGGGCTTTAGTCTGGGTTTGGAAGGGAGTATAAGGAATGCAGTGGTTCTGAGGCAGAGCTGGCTGTGCAGTGAGCACCAAAGGTGTTGGGATAGTTTGCAGTGATGGGAGAAATATTAAATAGGTGGAGATCCACTCTGCCCTGACACATGGCTGGGTAACAGTGAGATGAACTAGTTGAAGATCTTGCTATTATCTAAAAGTCTTGAAATTTAAAAGTGAAGTTTTGGGAGTTGTGTTTCAAAGAGTGGCGTATGGATGCACTACTGAAGAGAAATAATCCAGAAGGATTTCCTAAATATCTGTGACCATACAGAGGCTGATGGTTCTGAGTATCTTAAAGCCCAGTGACAGCACAAGTACATTAACAATGATTTTTCTATTTCTTGACATGGTTTGCTCTCACTCCCAGTCAGTGAAGTTGCTTGCTCCAGCAAGTCTGCATGTCTTGGGGATGCTCATGTTCTATTTTGTGTACCAAATTTTGTTTATACTTTATTTTTATCTAGCACCAGTGTCCAAAGGCTGCAGCAGAGCCTTGTAGCATAGTCCAGTGTACAGCCTAACCCCCAAAGGGGCAGTTGGGCATGGAGAGGGCTCACAACTTGATCACTTGCCTGTTCTCTTGCTGCTGGGAATTATCCTTTTAGTGCAGTTCATACCTGATCTCTGCATCTGCTTCCTTGTGCATACAAGAATATTGCAGTTTATTTTTAAAGAGGACAAGGAGGAAAAACAAAAAATATTAAAGAATATTAAAGAGGACAAGGAGGAAAAACAAAATCAGGCAGCAGCTCATCTACTGATACATTGCTACAACCTGTTGCCACAACTGACATTTTATATAGTAGTAAAATTGAAAGAGCAGAGATGATTTTCATTACCTATCTCTTGGCTGAAGCCTGGCATTTGCTCTCTGTTACTGTCAGAGTTGTGGTGTCAGCAAGGAAGGAAAGAAATGGTGAGGCAAATACGTGAAAAAATGTTAGTTTAATATCCTGTTATTAGCAGCTCTGGCATTCTGGCTGCTTTTATTTAGGCTGAGGACTTTTTACTTGTTTTTAGTCTTGCAAGTTTTATTAAAAGGTTTCTTTAAAAAGAGCTGCTGTTGGGAGGTTTCCCAGACCAAATAGGAAAGGGGGAATTATCAGTTCTCCACCCTCAGGCTCTATGCATGGGCTTTGCTGAGCCAAGGGAAGTGCCTTGCTCTTCTGTAGGATGTACTTCCTATTTGCACAGCGATTTTAGAGCTTAAGTGTGAAATGAGCTTTTAAGGATAAATAATCCCTCTCTGAGTTCATTTGTACTGAATGTGTGAGGCAAATGGTCTGTGCCAGGGCACTGTCTGTGCTGGTACATCCAGTGCCACTGCAGTTCATGGCAGAGACCTTTCCTGACTGACCACTTGCTCAGGGGATCTCTGAGAGGGCAGAGTGTGTGTAGGTGACATTGCTCCTGCCACTCCTTCGTGTCCATCACCCCTTGACCTGATGCTCGTAGTGTGTCAAGGTGAACCTGTTTCCTTTGTTGTTGTGTGGGTTGCAGTTGGTATTGCTGGTCCAATTCCCTCATAGTGAGGTTTCACAAACAGCACAGGAGACATAAACTTGGAAGACGTGGGGCTAAAACCCCCCCAAAACAAGACAGAAAATCTGGGATAGGCACAGTTCCTATACTTTAATCTCTGGCTTGAAATTTACTGTGTTACAAGTATTTCCTACTTCCTCTGCCCTGTCAGTAGTATGGATTAATGATTCATGAAGGTGTGTTTTAAGGGCTGGGTAGTTTGTGTTTATAAAGTGCTTACTAGAGTCCCTGCTGCTTCTTCCTTTTTCCTTCCACTTCCACCTCCCAGGAGCATTCATGCATAAACCATTTCTTTTTTCAGCCTTGCCTTTCCACAGAGAAGAGTTACTAGCCTGTTGGTACTCCTTTGTGCCCAGCTCTGATTACCAGCAGTGTAGAGTTGGTGGATTTTTTTTGTATTTTTTTCATGGTCCAGAACTGGCATTTCATTCCTCCTTTCCAGTGTTACCAGCCTGGAAAATTGTATGGAACTGTATCTGACTAAACATACAGAAGCCTCTTAATTGTAAATAATCTCAGTCCCAGTTGGTAGCAGCTCATAGGTGGGAATTAGAAAAGGTGAGATACTGGCAAAGAGAAAAGTGTGGGTGAAATTAATTTAATTCCTGTTGATATTCTTGAGACCAGTTGGGACAGTTGTTAGTTCTTACGGAGGACACATGAAGACTGGATTCATCTCTGGCTCCTGCTTTAGTGAGCTGTGGACAGTAAAAGTTGTGACTGGCCAAGCACGGCTTCATCTGTTGACAGTTCTGCTGGTTTAGGGGGATGCTTTGTCTCGAAAGGGAGGGAGAGAGAAAAACTGAAAGCAGAATGATTTGTTGTCTGTTTTGTTGCAGCGGAAGGTTGGTTTCACCAAAATGGAAAAATTTTAAGGGATTGAAGCTTCAGTGGAGAGATAAAATCCGTCTCAATAACGCCATCTGGAGGGCCTGGTACATGCAGTGTAAGTACCGTGCTGGGGACGGGTCTTCCCTGAGACATGGGTGAGAGCGAGAGAATTGAAATTATTGTCTAGTGAAAAGCTCGGGGATCTGCTCAAGGTCTGATGTTCCAGAGGCAATGCCCTTGGATCAGGGCTTTCGTTGGATCAGGGCTTTCCTGGATGTGCTGAGTGCTCCAAGCACAGCCCGAGATCTCCCTGTTTTGTCTTGTTCATCGGGAAGGAATCCTGGCTAGGCTCCCTGTGACACCTTGCCACCGAAGTGACAGCTCTGCGGGCCCTGCACATGCTCAGCACTTGCCTTGCCGTTGTTGTTTCAGACCTGGAGAAGCGCAAGAACCCCGTGTGCCACTTTGTGACCCCTCTGGACGGCTCCGTGGACGTCGACGAGCACCGGCGGCCAGAGGTGTGTGAAACCCTGGGAACAGCCCAGTGAGCTCTGCAGTTTGTAACAGGATTTTCTGGTCTGCTGGGAACAAGGGCAGCGTAGCCAATCTGTGTTCTGATTTTATTTAGAAGGAACCATTAAAAGCAAAGTGAACCAGGTTTTGCGAGTTTATCACATGAGGATGATCAAGGTGCAAGCAGAAAGGACATTTGTTATCTGTGTAACTTATGTTAATGTTGTAGTTTAATGAATCATAAATCACAGAAGTACTATTTGAATAGTTAAGGTTTTGACAGCCACTGCTGTCTTCTGACTGGAAGTCGGTGGGAAATCAGAGTGATGACTATTTTCAGGACTGAATCTAAGTGACCCTGAGAGAGTTTTCTGTTTTTTATGTAATTGGAGAGGTGTGGTTTCAAGAGAACAAGCAATTTCTTTTTCTCTGTCGAGGTAGTTTCACAGACAGATCAAATATGAGTTTGTGTTCTTTCATTTTTGTGCTCCTGTAAACATAAATGAAAACTAACATCTGCCCTCTGGCTCCTTGCAGAAAACCAGTGAGGCCCTTGATGTGGCAATATGTGGCTCTCTCTATACTGCATAACTCTAGAGTAATTTATAACTCAGAGGAGTTCCAGATGAGTTTGTGGAACTGTCTCAGGTTTTTGAAAGAACAGTGTTGATGTTTGTGTTGAAAGTGACCCTCGAACACAAAGTTAAGGCTCTCATTAGTCTGCTCTCCCCAACTTACACACTGCTCTGTGTGATACATTGAAGACCCATATCGTGTGATCCTTTTGTTGCCATCAGTGTGTGGCCTGCAAGGTCCCCCCTGAGCTGGACATCAGATTTCTATTGCTTTGTGTCATTCGTAGCAGCTTTTGCTTATGTGTGTGTCTGTGCATGTGGCCTTGTGAAATTCACAGGATATTGTGTGCTTTATACATTATATTTCAGTAAATTAATTTTAAAGGTGGTTTTTTTTTTGCCATTTCTTAACTCTTAGTTATGGTTGAGCTGCTGTGGGAGATGCTGACAGTGCAGTCAGACGTCACCTCGTGTTTGGTTTTTGTGGGAAAGATGAAGTTAGTACTGTCAGATTTGCTCTGTGATAGCTGAACTCTGGGGCAGTGTGGGCTGCTGATACATGAGCTCAAACAGAATTAGCATGCTTTCTTTTGCATTTTTTATGCCTGAATATTTGCTTGGAAATGTATTGAATATTCAGCCCTTGTGTGATTCCGTGTAATTCATGGTATGTGTTTGTGTTCTCAGGCCATTGCAACAGAAGGGAAATACTGGAAACGAAGAATTGAAATAGTCATTAGGGAATACCACAAGTGGAGAACATACTTCAAGAAAAGGGTCTGTTGGTTTACATAGTGAAAGTAGTTTCCTTGAGCTTGATCAGTGTGTTGTTGCTTTTTGAGTTTTTCTATCACTTTTTCTCGCATGCAAGAGTACTTAAAACAGATGATAAGCTGGTACAGACATGCTCATCTGATTAGTTCCACTTAACTAAAAATTATTGTGCTGGGACTGATTGTGCATGATTGGGTCTTAAAAGTTTTGCAAAATCAGGTCTTCCACTGGCACATACAGGACCTATTCTGACTTCACCATCTGTTCTCCTTTTGCAGTTACAGAAGCACAAAGATGAAGATCTTTCAAGTTTGGTCAGGGTAGGTAACACCACTGAGAAGTGGCAACATTTATGCTTGTACAACCCACAGTAGATAACCAAGCTGTAACGTGCAGTAGCTTGCTTTGATTACAATCTAAAGACAAGCAGCTTGCTTAAGCCTTAATTAAGGTTAGAAACCTTAATGTCCTGTGCCTCGGAGAGCAATGTGAGATTTGTAGCTTGAATTGGATGGAGGAGAGGTTGAATGTAAAGTGCTGTGACAGAAGAAATGGGAATCAGCATTGCATGCCCAGAGAGATCAGTCTCTTTGAGGGCTGGCACATGATTTCATCTTGTTACGGAGTTGTAACTGGCACTGCTGCTTTGCTTGTGTAACTGGATCTGTGAAGATGTGGGAGCTGTGTTGTGCAGATCTTCCTGCTGTGCCCACAGCTCAGGCAGATAATATGCCAGGATCCTATAAAAGGACAAAATGGTTAAAGGAACAGTGGTATCACCATTTAGTATTTCCCCTTAAACTATCAAACCTACTTTGGGTATATAAACCGATGATCAGAAGCACTGTTCTGCTGTTTTTGTAAGGCAGTGCAGTTTAACTGAGCCTGTAGTGAGGGATGGGTAAGCCAAGTCACATTGTGTTGTATTTTTCATGGGCAAAGAGTATCTTGTGCAAACTCAGTACAATTGCACTTCACTGTGAGTCAGGGTTTCAGATACATCTCACAAGACAGGAGTTGTTTTTTGCATTCTTGCTAGTCATGTTATTTTTAATCTTTATTCAAACCAAGGGATTGTTAAACTGGATGTGAAAATACTTGTGTAATCAATCAAACAAGGAAGTGTTGTTATTTGTCTTATGTCCTTCTAGTCAATATCTGGGTTTTGGGCAAAAATCTTTCCCAGAGTGTTGTGGTATTTCAGTGAGCTGAAGTTGCTGGTGTATCAGAAACACCATTGAAGTGTTTCAGTCCATTTGATGGCTCCTCAAAGAGAGGTTCTTTCTTTAAAAATGTGAAAAACGAGGGTTGCTTTTATAGATAGGCACCAGACTGCTTTGGCATTCTAGGCAGCCTGACCTCTCCTCCTTTCCTTTGACAGGATGATGATGTGGTTCTCTGGCAAAAAAGAAGATATGGCAGAGAAACCCCTGTCCCCATGGAGGAAGGCAGCCTCTTGGATGCAGACATGCTCATGTCCGAGTTCACCGACACCCTGTTCTCCACGCTCTCTTCACATCAGCTGGTTTCCTGGCCAAATTCCAGGGACATAGGTATTTGTTGGCTGTAGCTGTGTTGCAGTGAGAACCCCTACAAAAACTCTGGTTTGTTGCTTTGCAGCTCTTGTAGTCTTGCCTAAGAAATCTATCTTATATTGCTGATACACATGAAAACAGGTCAGGGAATGTAGCTGTCTTATGATTCTGTAGGTTATAGAATCCCACTTAATGATCCAAATTTAATTTCTGTCTTAACTTATGTGCTGCTCCCAGCTTTGCCCCCTAATGTTGCTCTGAATAAATCTTTAATGAGCAGCATTTACTTTATCAGTGGTGAAGGCATTGTTATTTATCTCAAAGCATAGTTGTATGTGTATTTTTAAGGGAGTGCCTGTGTATTTTTGTTTGGCTTTGTTGGGTACAACCAGTGCAAGTTTCATCTGTACAAACAGTCCTAAGAGCTTTTCAACTGTCTGGAGGCTCTGACTGTCTGATGGGACAGCACATGTCCACTATTCACCATCCTTGCTGCAGTGATGTCTGAGCAACTCCAGAGCAGCCATGGTTTACATGAATTGTACTCAAGGCAGATGAAATGGGTGATGGTTTACTTTAAAATACTCTGTTATGAGCTGTGGTGGATCAGGCTGTGCTTTCCAGCAAGGTTGTGTGTAGTGCAGCTCAATTAGCCCTCAGGTTTCACCTCTTCCAATTTGGTAATTGAAAGTTTCATTCCCCAGTGGCTTTGATACCTGGACTGTGCTGTAGCTCTGAAGAGAAGCAGATGCTCAGTTCCTTTCAGCAGCAGTTTTTCTGTAACATCTTGGCCAAGCCTGGCTGTGGAGTGTTTTATTCCTGCTGCTGTTATTATGTGAGTGATGGGAAGTTAATCTAATCTGCCTCCTGAATTTTGCAGGACACTTAGGAAATGCTGACATGATTCAACCAGGGCTTATTCCTCTCCAGCCAAATTTTGATTTTATGGATACTTTTGAGCCTTTTCAGGGTAAGAATCATATATAGAGTTCATTAATTTCTTAAATATTGCAGTGATTTATGAACTAGTTTTTTTAAAAAAAGTTTTAAGTGTTACAAGCATCTAAAGTTTCCCCATTTCACACTTCTTAGTGATGAAGACATTTAACATTTTGTTAGTCTTTGAATGTTTTATGACACTGTCAAGAATTCCATACAACACTAAACTACTGCTGACAACTTTGATGGTTATGGATCTTCATAGAAGTAAAGAATCATATCTATTTGCTGGCTCTGCAAGCAGTCTGCATCAGATAACTGTACTTTGTGGGACTCACTGAGGATCAGCTCTTGGCTGTCTGTGTGTAGATGAACCTTTAATAGGACTGATTTTTGCATTGTCCCAGTTTGCATGAAAATTGAAGGAGTCAGCCCCAAAGAGATCAGTTCCTCTGGAAGACAGCAATCCACTGCTCAGTCAGCAGCAGTTGTATGAAGTAAAAAGATCATGGTTTCATTATTTGCTAAATAATGCTGATATTCCTGTGAATTTTAGGATCTAGCAATGCTGTATCTTAAGTATGAAAAGTAGAAAATTAATAGGTGGCTTTTCATATTTCAGAATTATTCACGCCCAGTCGCTCCAGTAATTATTTCCCTTCCGTGTCTGCTGTCAGCTCAGCTACCACAGACAGCAGCAGCCACTCTTCCCAGGTAAGAGGGGTTTCAAACAGAAGGCTCTGACATGAGCCATGTCCTCTCAGGAGGAGTTCAGCCATGTCTGAGTCAGTGACATTTCCTTGTCTCTCAGTCTCCTGTCCTGCCGTCGGGTTCGTTGCCCAGCACGCTTCCAGCAGGGAACATCAGTGATGGACTGATTCCTTCCTCAGTACCTGCTCCTGTCATTCCTGACGTCGTTGCTGACCAGTGTTCCAGCATTAGAAGTGGGGGATCTTTCATCCAGCCGGCAGACTTCCCTCCTGACTCGTCTCTCAGCGGGCCACAAACTTTTATGTCAGTGTTCCAGACGCCCCTGCCGCTGCTGCAGCCCACGAGCGCCCAGCAGCCGTCCCCGCTGCCCGCGGTGCCGCTCAGCTCCAGCCTGAGCCCCGCGCCCGCCGCCTTCGCCGCTCCAGAAACCCCCAAGTTCGGCCTCTGTGAGTCCTCGGTCATCACTCACACGGCTTCTGCCACGCTGACCCACAACGCCCCTGCCACCACCTTCAGCCAGAGCCAGAGCCAGAGCCTGGTCCTGGCCACGCAGCAGCCGGGGGCAGGAGTGCCTTGTAACCTGGCCTTCCAGACTGCTGTTGTGCAGGGGCAGCCCCGGCCCCAGCTGCAGTCCCAGCTGACATTTGCACTCCCCAAACCTGTTCCTCTGGCCAGTGCTGGGACAAGGCCCAAACAGTCACAAAAAATAGTGCCTGCTCCGAAGCTTGAAACAGTGTCCTTAGTGGTAAAGAATGCCTTCATCACCCCAGGTGAGGAGCGCTGCGGGAGGATGGTTTTGTTTTCTGAGTGGGACTACCAGGAGGAAAAGACCTTTTTGCTTTTCTTGCTTTACATGATAAGTTAAAATAGAGCTTCTGAGTGTGTCCACGGAACCCTTGAATCCACTGTCTGAATGCAGTGGCTGCACTGTTCAGTGGGATGCCCTGGACTGCTGCAAGGATTAGAAGCAGTTTGGTTGAGTGTGAAAAGCTGACCTGCAAAAGGGGGTCTCTTTTTGTATCATCTGTGATGGGCTGTGTAGCTGCATCAGCTCTGTGCTCCTGCCCCATAGAAGCCCTGGATTTAGGAGTGCTGCTGTTGTGATTAACTGCCCCTCAGAGCACTCAGCCACAGTGGAGGAGGAGGTTCTCCTGAGGGAGCTGGAGATCTTTGTCTCAAGCAGTCTAGAGACCCTCGAGATGCTTTAAGTCAGGAGTGGGTGTCAGGTCAGAGTAGAACACATGGGACTTCCACACTGGGTGGGATTTGGAGCCACTGGCACTGCACAAGGCAAAGAATGAAGATAAGGAGCAAGAGTTGCTTGAGGTGGTTCTTGTAGGAAAGCTCAAGGCTGGAGCAGGACAGGCAGAACGCTCTTCTTGGGATTATTGCAGTCTGTTTTTTGACTTGCGCTGGCTGGGGGCCAAGTGACTTCAGCCACTTGAAATGTGCAACAATAATTCAAGAAAAAGCCTGCCTGGGGGAGTAATGTTAAACAGGCTTTACTAGGGAGTAGGTGTGTCTGCCAGGGCCTGACAGTGAGAGACCCACAAAAGAGAAAAATCACTGTTCAAGAGAAGAACAGACCCAAGATGGAATTCTAGGATGTCACTGGGATCGATTTGGTCCTTGATTAATAGCATGAGGGTGTTAATGGCAGTGCTCCTATCTACAGTGCATTATAAACCAGCAGTCCATGTACCTTCAGCGTCAAGACATGCATTTCTCACCTAGTAGAAATTGTAGGAAACTCATTTTCAGAAAGCATTTGCTCCTGCTTTTCTCAGGGCTTCCTGGGTTCTTCCTCACCCCATATATTACTTTCCCAGTGGTTCACTGTTTACCTCTAGACCATCACAACCAGTAGCTTTGTTTCTCATCTAGATTAGTGGCATGTATTTGGGGATCATGGTGTTCCTAAACTACTAGGACATCAAGCTCAGGTGACAAATCCAAGAATTTATATAAATACTAGAGCTTTATTTTTGGAAACAGAATAAACATCAGTACTTGTAACTGAGACATTTATGCCTGTAATTTGTGTTCAGGACAAACAAATCATCTCCTGACTGTAAAGCAAATTATGTTATATCTTGTGTTAAAACTGTTCTGTGGTATAAGGACCCAAAAATCTGTACAGATTGTCTCATCAGGTGCAAGACTTCACTGCTATCACCACTTCATGATAAATGTGCTGATTTGGAGAGGAAAGTCTGCAAAAGATGCATATGTAGGACAGAAACATAAATCATGTAAAGCGACTTCTAAATATTGTTGCTGGTTGCTGCAGGTCCCCACATGTGGAAGTCAGAAGGGCCAAGCCTGTGCAGCAGCATTAATGCACTGGTAAGAGTAGGCTCTTGAGGTCAATACAGATGTCATAAGTCCAGCTGAACGTCAGTGAACAGTGGAAAGGTTGTGATTCCAGCTTTAGATGTGGGAATGCTCAAGAATGAACTCCCTGTGTCAGTGACAGAGCCATGCAAGGGCTGGCACAAGGTTTGTGCAATCCACAGGCCTCTCTTATGGAGGCTGTGCAGAAACTCCAGTTGAGTCAAAACACAGTTGTCAGGCACAGGTGACACTGTCAGGGAGGGGACACTGGATAACCCTGCACTGTCTCCCTGTCCTGCTGTGTGTGTCCTTCAGGGTCCTAATGCTGAACTGCAGAGGGGCAGCTTGGCAGGGCCTGAGCTCTGCTGACACTTCTCCTGCATCATGACTTTATTTGTACAAAGGAGAGCTGAACCAGTGCAGCCAAGAGTGAAGCCAAATATGTTTGGTACAGTTTTGTCAAAACCCAGACAGAAGCTGTGTTTGTCAAATCTTTGCTTGATTCTTCCCTTAGTGACAGTTTAGGATGGTCAGTCATTTTCTGTTGAGACTGGGCAAGAACAATGTCAGCATGAATGCTGTGGTAGTAACTGCACATCTGCATTGGTTACATGGAGATCTTCACAGATTCATGTGGAGACATTTGCTGCTATTCAGAATTACCTCTAGCTGCCCAAAACTCTAGAACTTTTGGTTCTTTAGCATATTTTGTGAAATTTTGATGCTGATTCCCAATCCCATTTGGTTGTCTTGTGGTTGTGTGTCATCTAAAGCAGCTGTAAAACCAGACAGTGAAAGAAGCTGGTAGGCTGAAGTGCTGAGGGAAAGGATTTAAGATACATGTACAAGAAAGCATGAGTATTGAGTCATTGACCCTTCCTGGAGCAGCAGAGCAAGCCTGAGACCCCAAAGTGTGGATGGAAGAGGAGAGCTGAAGATGGTCCTCCTCCTGTCAAACCTGGCTCTGACAGAATGAATACACTTTGTATCTCCCTGAACTACTACATATCTCTGTAAACTCACTGTGAAACAGTGACAGTGATGCTGGAAAACTCAGAAATAGCTGGAGTGTTCAAGTCCTTTTTACTGAATTAAAGGGGTTGAGATTATTGGAAGACTGGTGGCATTTTATACTGCAGTGAAACAGTACCAAATGAAAACCCACTGATCCATGCCCATGTTTAATGACAAGTTATTTCGTACAAAATAATTTCCATCTTTTTCTTTGTATCATTAACTATTCTAACTGAATTGTGTTCTTCAGCTGCCTTTCAGGGACAGTCCAGAGCTGTGATTGTAACTCCAGCACCTTTAAAAAGAGAGGGGATTTTGACGCCAGCCACGTCTCAGTCTAATGTTGCAATTGCACCAGCTGGAATTGTCAGAGTAAGGAGAAGAAAAAAAAATTATACATTTGTTTTCTAGGCCTGTTATTTGCAAGTAGTCAGAGCCATAGTGTGCTCAGGTGGGTAACGAGTCCAGTAAATAATCTGTTACCCAAAGTATGCATTTGTGCATTCAGCATTATGTTTGCTTGTTTTTAATGTAGCCACTTCATGGGCTTGGAAGCACTTTATAGTCTTGATAGGCTCTGTCTCACACAACAGTAAGATTCCAAGGAGCCTGTATTCACAGTGCTGTGGATGGGGATGGTTTGTGCTTTAACTGTGGAGAAGCTGGAAGGAGCCCAGGGAGCTCACCTTTCCACTGCCATAATGGAAAACATGCCTTGGGTGTGTGAGTGGCTTTCCCCCGTGTTGTGTGCAGGAAGATGGAGATAGATTTTGGTATATTATGCTGTTGATGTGTTGTAATACTGCTTTAAGTTACGAAAGGATACTGGTCTCCTGCCAGAAGCCTGACTTTGGTGCCTGCCAATTCCTTATATATTAGCCCTTGTTTCATGTCATCAGATTGTTAATCATATAATTGTATTAATTTGCTAATTTTAGTGAAAGGCAAGGTAACAAATCTCTCTTTCTCTCTTTCTCTTTCTTAATCTCTTCCCCCACTTTGTCCTTTCTCTCATCCCTTCTCTCCCACTGCCCCTCCTGCTCTCTCTTTCTCTCTGTTTTCCTCTGTGCTGTTTCTGTGCTGTTCCCAGGCTCCCGGGGTGACGGAGTTCCGTAGTAACATTCTGGTTGGTCCAGCACAGCGAGCACCAAGTAGTCAACAAAGCCAGTCCACAGTCTCACATCTCTTTCCTCCTAGTGTAGTCCAAGATGTGTTGGTGAAAGGAGAGCACATCCCTTCCCACTGTAGCAGTTCACAAGTTCCCTCACCTACACCTAGTAAGTTAGAAAGCTGGAAGCGTTCTCTGCCCTGCACATGGAAGTGTGTTTCTGTTGGCTAGGCAGGTGTAAGTGGGCCTTGAGGATCCCTAGTTAATTTTTGAAGGAAAAGCTTTTCAGGCCCTTCTACCCCACAGCTTCAGTTGCATCCAGTAGTTTCCAATTCTTGTCTTAAATGACTGTGCAGCATCCCCACAAACTGTGATTTTGTGCTTCTTGTAAGTGGTTCCTTTCTAAAAGGATGTGCTGTCATAGTCACCAAGGAATGAAAGGCATCTGTGTAGGAAGTGCTGAATAGGTTTGTTGTTCAGTGTCATAGCTCTGATTTTGACTGGAGGATCTCAGACACAATCCTTGTAGGTAAGTGCAAAGACTCCTTTTGCATGTGCATTGATGGAGTGTTCCCTGGGCTGGTTCTGGTGGTAAATGGCTTGTAAGTGTCACCAGGCCTTTAGAGACAAATGGGGGAGCCCAGCAGGACAACGGAGTCACAGCCTGTGCATCCAACATGCCTTTGCTGAAATGTGTGTGTGAAAGGACTATTACATCTTGCTATTCAGGATGTATCATGTGACCTGATATCCTAAGCTTTCCCAGCAGTCCTGATGTTTTCTAGCATGTGGTTGCTGCATCAAACAGAGTAATTTGGTTGCCGACTGCATTTCAGTTCATTTCTTAGTAGAAACTTCTCAGCAGTTATATTTGCTACAGAAAGTTGTTTGTTTATGTGTCTTGTGTTTTTTCCTTTCTGAAGGCCGGGACTGTCAGAATTCAGGCCAGGCTTCCCCCTGCACCTCTGAGCAGAGCCCCAGTCCACAATCTCCTCAGAACAGCTGCTCAGGAAAACCTGCCACTGACCCTGCTGTGGCTGCACTTAAGGTGTGTGTCCTTTCCTTTGAGGGGCTTTTCTTTGCCTTCATAGCTACTTTTCTTTCCTGATGTCTGAGCACAGCTAGAGAAAGTTCTGCTTCAGGACAGCAGCATATTTGCATGTCGGGCTTAGCTTGCTGCTGCATCTGTGCTGCTCTGTGCAATCCAAAATGTCAGACTCTAATCTACTCTGCTCCTCAGGGATGTGTCACCAGAGGGGCCAGGCTTAGCTGTACCTCTGCAGGTCATTATGGTTGTGACAGCAGTTCCTGCTGTGGCTCACAGGAGTGTTGTGACAGGTGTCAGTTTACTTGTCAAAGGTTTCAGGCTTAGTGTTCTAAACTGTGGCTTTTTGCCATTGTTCTATTGGGGCTCTTCAGTCTTCAGGGCTCTGGTCATTGCTGGAGGGGGAGTTCTTGACCTGCTGAGTTACTTACATGTCTCCAGTGATGATATGCTGCTCCACAGAGAAGCAGCTCCACAGACTCTACAAATTACACCTGTAAAACCCTTCGAGAATCACTGGGGTAAGAACCCAGCAGTCTAGAGATAGCACCTGAGTGCTGGTTGTACCTCACACACAAACTGACCTTGTCAGAACACTTTCTGTGGTGATATGAGAAACTTCTCCATGAAAACCCCATCAGAACAATCAGCTGTAACCCTCTCATTCATTCTCTTGTGGGGGGGAGCATTACTTAACAGTTCTGCAAGTGCCAGCCCCCTCCTGGCTTCCCTGGCTCTGTGTACCCTGTGAGTTGATTGGCAGTTTGGTTACTCTAGGGCAGAAAGGTAAGTTTAACACCTACAGCCTGTGACTAAACTCAGGTCTAGATCTGTTGCAGAGGATAATCAGAACTGCCCATTGCTGACCATGCTGCAAGTTACCCGTAAAAGATGGCAGGGATTTACTTGGCATGAGAGCTCACAAGCTGTGGATATAGCCTGTTCTGCTGCTAGAGAGTAAGGTAACAAAGGAACACATTAGTAGGGCTGGCTGATGATGGGAAAATGGTCACTAGATGGAAAAGTAAAGACACAGCTTTACAGCCATGTAAACACACCTGCTCTGACAGGAATAGCTTTGAATGTGTATTGTTAGTAACTCTAGTAAGACAAGAGAAACAATGATATTTGCCAGGCTCCAGATGTATGTGCTTTTGTTCCTCTGTATTGTTAGTTAGATTAAACAGTTCTGTATTGCTAGGTAACATGGTTATTTCAGTTTAGCAAAGCATGGAGTGCACTGGAAATCTCAGTCCTGCTCATGGACCTGCATTTTCTGTGGGGTTTTGGGCAACCACTTCACTGCTTTATTACATTGCTTTCCTCCATTATAAAGTGGGGTGATGGTGAACTGCTGCCAGAAAGCCTCAGTCTTCAAGGAACGGGTTCTCAAAGTGCAAACTCTGTTAAAGAAGTTCCTTCATCCCAAGTTTTCTGTGGCAGACTCCCATGAAAAAGCAGTAATTGAGTGGTGCAGCAATAGGAACAACTTGGGCTGGTGCTACAAGAGACACTCAGAACAAAGAAATCCCTGGGCTGTTACACAGTTACAGTCTCTGCACCTCCTTCACATGCCTGGCATACACGTCTCTGTGGAGTGGGGATTTTCAGAGTCATATCTGAAGTAATTTTATTCCTTCCTGGATCCTTTCTGTGTCCCTGCTGTGGCTGTGACAAGTGTAACCATCCCAGGGATGATCCCTGGCTGTTCCAGGCTCCAGCTGAGCTGGGCGGGAGCCACAGGGCGGCGGTGTGGCCCCAGCTTCGGGAAGGGATCCGCCGGCTGCTCCTTTGTCCTGGGCAGCTCAGAGGCCTTGGAATAATCTGGTATTCCCAGAGCCTGAGCAGAAACTAGAGCTCCTTTTATAGCTTGGAAAGTCTTTTCTTTCTCTGGGCACCAACCTTGGGAGCTCCTGTCAGTGGTTTAGGCAGCTCCCCAGCCCTGGGATCCAAGGGCTGCAGGATTGTCCTGTGCCTAAAAAGTTCTGCCAGTTGTTTTTGTTACTGATTGCAAGGTATTTCTACCACAGCCTGGACCAGTTCTGGGTCTACTGATCTTTGTTCTTTTGTTAATATAAATCCTCAATATTTTACTTCCTGATGACACAGCTTAGAAAGATGTGTAGGGTGTCCTTTTCTTTCTGCTAAAGCACTCCACAGACAAATGGTATCTTTCAAACATTTGTGTGCCTTGCTGGCATATGCATCATGTGACATACTGTACAAGTCTAGAACCTCCAGGTAATACATCTTTCAGATTTTCTCCTTGCCATCCTGGCATGTGATGCTTAAAATAGGTGCAGATGTCAGAGGTGGGTCGGTCCACAAACACAATGTCAATTCATTATTAAGATTCTGGAGAGTCATTCCAGGGGAGGCTGTGAATGTCACAAGCCAACAAAAATGACAGTGAATTTGAGAAGCTGAAATAATCATAGCAGTAGCACAGTAAAGGAGAACAGCATAGACTGAGCTGATTTTATTTATGCAGAATCGAAGGATGAGGCATCTTTCAGAACAAAAAAGAAGGTCTAATATCAAGATTGGTTTCAGTGCTCTGAACAGCTTGGTGTCAGCCAACTCCAAGTCGGTAAGTACTGCAGCATCACTTACATTTTGATGTGAAATGTAAGAAAGAGCCATTCTAAAAGTCTTGTTAATAAATGTAGTTTATTATTTCACTGCTGAGTGGTCAGCTGAGCACAGCAGAGAACAGACTGCTGGAACACAGCAGTGAGCAGAGGTAGAATGGTAAAGCTCAGGTAAATTCCTAGGATTTCCTACACCATTGAGATCTCTGCCTCCCAGCATGGTCAGTTCAGATGATTTGGAAAATCTCATTAGGACTCTTTACACCACCCAGCTATCTTTAAGAATCAGGGCCTTTTTTTCCCCTTTCACCTGTCATTTGTGCTTGGGTTCACAGAGCAAAAAATTCCAACTGATTTCTTATTGTCCAATGACTTTGTTCAAACTAAAAACTTAATCTGGCTACACCAGTTAACTTAGTTCACTAAATTGAAATACAGATATATCTGCACAACAAAATTTTTTGTGTCCTTTAAATACCAGTGGGTTTGAAACATGCAAAATATGAAAGCTTTTTGTGTAGCATGTTGATTTGTTTTTATAATTTTTATAGTTTCAGAAATTTAGGCGATATGTTGTCAGAATTTCACTTCCTGGCTTGATTAGCCTATTTGAAAGGAAGTCCTTTTTGAAAACTCAGCTTTACTGAAATGTCCGGTTATTTTATTTCTCAAGTACAGATTTTTTTTTTGGTTCCTGCTAACTGAACAGTATTATCTCCTTTGATGGGTCCTTCTGTTTAATAACTTCAGGTTTCCCAAACTAAATTATTTATATTATCAACTTAAAGCAGTGCTTCTACCAGCACTATAAATCTGTCTGGAGATGTTGCACATACTTCACTACTTAAGTAAAACTGTAAATATTTTTAAGAGGACAGATAGTGAAATAAAACATTTTAAATTATTAAAATATTTCTTTGAACAAAGTAGCAGAAATGTAATTTATGAAAGAAGACAACCCCTACAGCCACATTTCTCTGTACTGGAGTGTGAAGAGGATTTAGAGAAACGCAGAGTTGAGTATCTGAAGTGTTTTGCTCTGCCTGACCCTGTGCTTTTACACACGCTGAAGGAAAATTAAAAGGTGCTGGAGTGCAGGTTAGAAGGACAAACTCATAATAACCTCAGGTTGTTGCAGGAACTGAGCTGTGTGTCTGTGTTTGGCCTAGATCAGCCATGCCATCACACTCCAGAAGACAGTGGAGTACATCGCCAAGCTGCAGCAGGAGAGGACCCAGATGCAGGAGGAGACCAGGCGGCTCCGCGAGGAGATCGAGGAGCTGAACGCCACCATCCTGTGAGAACGGGGAGCTCCAGGGGTGGAACAGCAGCAAACAGCAGGGAGTGTGTGCTCAGTGTCACACCAGGGAGCAGATGGGTGTTGGACAGAGCAGCTCCAAGCAGAGCTGCTGTGGGATGGGCACTGGTGAAAATTGTGTGGATTTTCAGCAAGCTCTCAGCATGGAATGCACAACAGTGGCAGCATCAGGGAGGATGTGTCAGGTCAGAATAGTTCTGAGAAGAAGTCCGTGAGGATATTTTTATAAAGCTCATTGGTGATTGAACTCTCACTCTTCGCAATGGCTTTGCTGCAGTTTTCTTCTCAAATGTGGTCAGTTTTTATAGGAAATTGTGATTGAGTACATAAAACACAGAATGTGGGCTCCAGGATTTGGCCACTAGTTGAACATAACTGTGATAAATCACTTCACCTTCCCAGTGCCTCAGTTTCCTCTGTGGGTTTATGATTATGTACTATTGCAAAGCACGTTGACAACTGCACTGGCTTTATTTCCATCTGCAGAAATTTTGGGCTTAAGCATGATGTTAAAATTAGCAAATTTTATTTTTCTTGCAAAATATAATGAAGTCTGCTTGGTTTTATTTTAAATTGGTCTGTTTTATAAGAATCTCCATTACGTCTTCTTCTGTAACATTGCTTAGGAGTAACTGTAAATTTTTCCTTGACTCCTAATGTGCCTTGTCCTTAATCGATGCCCAAAATTAATTTGCTCTGTGTTACACTTTGTTTTCAGTTTAGTTGTTTGTAACCAGCAGTGTTTGTAGCAGCTTGATAAATTACTTTGCTGCATGAATATAGACAAAGTTGTTGGGAAAACAGTTTTTATTCCAGACTGGAGGAGTTACACTCTGGGGGGATCATGCACTGGAAAGCCCCTCCACCAGAGATACATACCAGGAATACACACTTTTCTCCTGCTGCAGTTTAGTCTGGAAGAGAAGTGTGTCCTTTTTGGTGAGATTCTGACTTTTGAACATCTTCTCAGTTCTTGCCAGCAGCAGCTCCCTGCTACCGGGGTTCCTGTAACGCGGCAAAGGTTTGACCACATGAGGAAGATGTTTGATGAGTATGTGAGAAGCAGGACCCTGCAGAACTGGAAGTTTTGGATTGTATCCTTTTATACCAACCTTGATCAACTTGGGCTTTGGTACTGGTACTTTTAGAGCCAAGAACTTGGGATTCTGATGCTGTGACTTCAAGCCAAGTTAGTTAAATAGCAAAGGTCCTCAGTTTTCATCCACATCTGCTTGTGGATGTGGATTCTTGCAGAATTTGTTCACCTCAACATGTGGGAGGTAGCTGCAAAGTAAAATGCAATGCAGAGGCAAGGTTTTCTTGCTAGGTTATTGTACTGCAAGAAATTTTTTGTGGGCTCTGCTGTAACTGCAGCTCTGGTTGTCTTTTGAGAAGCACACATAGACAATAGCAAAGATTTCAGGGGAAGAAAAATTACAGTTACTGAAGCTGTTCAAAAACTTGCACATTCCCCTTTTTTTCCTCTTCAGGTCAGTGTGGAGGAATTTTGCAAAATTAGTGAATATCACTAGGAACTAAAGTTCCATTTTGTTCTCAGTCTTAGTGTTAGAGATTTTAAAATACAATTATTTAAACATTGCAATCCCTCTGGCAGTTGAAGTCCATTTAGAAATCCAGTGTTTTCTCTGCCATAGCTTTTCCCATAGAATGTTTTGAACTCCTCCTTTGTTGTGTCCCTTAACATTTGATGGTTTGCAGTTCAGCATTATTATTAAGCCATTGTTTGAGTCCTTCAATGGGATGGTTTCCACAACAAGCTTTAAGGATCTGAACGAAACTGCACTGGCCTGGTTGGATCAGCACTGTTCTCTTCCTGTTCTGAGGCCAAGTAAGTGAAGTTCCATCCAGCAGCTCTTCAGATCACAGAAAGTATAATATAATAGCATTTCTTAAAAGTCAGAGGAAGGCAAAGAAAGCACATGATGCTGAATGTGGCTTTCGCTTCCTTTTTGTTAGCTCAGTGAAAAAATAAGAGCCTCTTCTGACTGTTAAGACAGAAAAAAATTTTGTTGAATATACCAGAATTTAAACAGTCTTTAACTACATTTAAATTTCAAAAGCTTGACTGTAGTTGGAGTATGTTTGGCAGTGTGATTTATCTCCTAATGAAGGAAGACCTCTGGGATTTATATTTAGCTTTGGAGTGACCTTCTGTTTGGGCATCACTGCTCGATTCTTTCCCTCTTGCCTTTCAGCAAGTATTTAGTTTACATTTATAGCTGTCAAGGGGTGCTCTCTTTTGCAGAAGAAAGATCAGTCAGATTAATAGCTTTTCCTGATGCTTTCCTGCCTTTTCTTTTTCTGTAGTGGTGCTGAACACCCTGCGGCAGCTGAGCAGGAGCACCTCGATCCTGTCGGACCCGTTGCGGCTGCCGGAGCAGGCGCGGGAGGCTGTGACGAAGGTGAACAAGAGAGCTGGGGAGACCTAACAACCAAAGACACTGAGGTGCTTGTCCCAGGGGTGGAGAACCTGCCAGGCCCTGCCTGCCCAGGCTCCTCCAGTCAGTGCACTTTAGAAAGGATTCTCTCCATCACCCGAGACATTGTTCAGGGCACCTGGCCCTGCCTTGCAGGTGATGCAGCGTTGTCAGAACGTTTGGGTTCCTCTCCAGTGCTGTGCTGTGCTCTGTCAAGTGAGAAAAAACACCAAGCTCAGGTAAACTCAGCAGGTTTGAGCCCTGCAGGCAGCAATAGATCTCCATCAATGCATCCTTATGCAACTAATGGAATGCCCTCAGTTCTCTGAAGTGTAAATCCTGTACACCAAGGAATGTGCTCTTCAAGGGGAAAAAATACTTCTGATTTCATGAAGCAAAATGTGCTTTTTATTTTGTTCTCTGGTATTCGGTTCCATGTGTTTTACTTGAATAGTGAAAATTGTTAAACAGGATCATATGAAAAACCAAAGGAGGAGAAAAATCTGTCAGTGATGTTAACTCATGGCAAAAATACTAGAATTAAAATCTCAGGCTGTGTTTTGTGTATTTTTATTTTAATGAGTGTATCATTGCATTTGATCGGTTTCAAGGCGTGCTTTATTTTCTAGTAAATAAAGTAGCTGATTTTTATTTTTTTTATATAGCCATTGCAAGGGAGTAGCAGGCTGTGCAGTAAGTGCAATAAAGCAGTTTTAGATTGTATAAATTTTGCAATTAGGATAAATACATTAATTTTATATCAGTTCAATCAATGAACTATTTTCTTGCACACTGCACAGTTCAGCTGCCATCCTCACAAAATGTGCACATATAAAACACATCCATTGGTAAATGTAGTAGCACTTCAGAGACAAGAATTGAGTTTGTAATGTTAAAAAATTGGCTTTTTTATTATCTCAGAAGCTATATCAAACCACACAAACTTGCGGTCAGTTTCTTTGCTTCTTTGTCTTTTTTTTGCTTCTTTTTGCCTTCCGTCTGAAAAACCTGAAGGACTTTGCTAGGCCTGGTCTATATGTATATCTGAAGGTTCTGTTCTGCATGAATTGTAGAACATGTAAAAATAAGTTTAAAACTCAAAATACTGCATAACGTTTTTCTGTGACAATCTCAGCACGTACTGTGCTCTGCTGCAGGTCAACTGAGTCCTGTTCCAGCAGTGATTGTCCATCCTGGGACAGCACTGGGATGTTCATTCCAGCTGATTGTTCATAGTCTGGATCATCCCATGACCCTTGTAATTCCACTCACGACTTGATCCCGATTGTTCAGAGCTATGCAAACGGTGGGAACACTTCCCTTGAGCAGTTTTCTTCCAGTTCCAAGGGCAGGCTGGAGGTGCTGTGCAGCCTCTCACCGTGGGAGAGTGAGGAATAACTGGAGCACTTGGGGGTTGCACACTCTGAAATGGGCTCAGTAGGTTCTCCTTGGGGAAAGGAGCTTTTCTCAGCATTGTCCCCAGTCTCCTCCTCTTGGTGGGTCAAAGTTTGGAAGGAAATGGGCCTGGGGAGTAGGCTGAGCGCACGTGGAGGTTTGTTCTTGTTTCCCCATTGCCCTCTGTTCTTGCAGCTAATGGCTTTCCTTGCAGAGTTCCTTTTGTGAGAGCAGCACTGTAGGAAGGACAAGGCACAAAAGGTGAGCTTCTCCCTGCATGGAAGGACTGAGGACTAAAGGGGAAGGCAAAATGGCACATTTTGTACCAACACAGCTTCCTCTGTGCAGGCAGAGGGAGACATGCTTTTCTTTCTTTTTCTTTACAGTAGATTTGACATATAATTTGAAGTTTGTGGCACATGTGGAAAACTGTGTCCCTGTGACAGAAGCAACAAAATTCCAAGTCTCAGCCAAGGAATGGTGTGTAAAGATTGTCATAGTAATTAAATAGTGAGTAGATTTTCTGGAGGGATCCATTCCCAGATCTTTCATAATGTTGTAATCAGTTAAACAATATTCTTTTGAATACATCTGGGTAAGAAGTGTTAAATAAGTAAATCCTTTTTTTATCAGTGCTTTCAATCCTCCCATTTTTATTACTACTTGTGAATTTGACTCCAGTAAAATCATTTTAAACTGTGATGAGCTGGGGGTGTCCCTTATGTCCTTTCCTTGGAAAGGACATCACTGTTTGTGCGTTAAAAGCATGTGTGGGTTTCTAGCAAGAAAGCAGCAGGCATATTGTCCAAGAGCTGGTGTTTTTGCTGAGCTTTACAGATGAGCAGATCCTGTAAAGCCTCTCCTGCTTGTCAGCAGTGATGGTGTGTGATTTTTACCATTTCTGGTATCGATGACGTGGGAGTTTTGTCCCAACAATCACAGTGCAGTACAATCATCCTTCAGGGCCCAGGGAGATCTGAGAACTGAGACCCTAACATCCCAAATGTCACTGAATGGATTGGAAACTGAAAGCAACCTTAAAGGAACAGGGAGGGGTAATTCACCTGAACTGCCAAAAGTTTTGTCCATTCACAGTTTTGATGTGGATGGAAAACTCATCCATCAGATTGCACCATGAGCTGGTTACAATTGGAGGGAAAGTGCTTGTTTAACAATTTGTGGTCCAGAAACAAACTCAAAGCCCTATTAAAAAACTGCAAATCTTAAAGAGAAAAATATTTAAGTATTGCTTACTTAGTCAAGAGTGTAGGAGGGAGGAAAGGAAAAGTGAAAAGATACTTTCCACTAGTGCAATTACCAGAAATGATGTGGCTGCTCTTTGAAGCAGTGATTCAATATGTTCTTGTCACCCTGTTATTGCAGATCAGAATTCTTTTTATCAGTCAGCCTTGTGAGGACAATGATTTCACTTCATTTGGAAACACAGGAGGATAAAAGCTGGTTTATGTCTCATATCTGAACAGTAGAACCACTAAAGATTGGTATGGAAAGAGATGGACCACGTATGTATTAGTTCCTGAATAGTTTTCTACTTTGATTTATGTTTTAACACCTTAGTCTTTCTTTCTTACCCATGGAGGTATTTAAATACTTTATTTTTTTCAAAGTTTTGTAATTTAAGCACTCTGATTTCCTCAGTGTCACCAAAGTAAGCAAGCCAAACACACAGTGCCTATGGTCTGCACACAATTGCAGGTGCTGCACATCTGTCTGGTGCTAAACTTTTGGAGAACCCCCATATAACTGAATATAAGTTATATTCTGTCAGATCCAACATGTTTCACTCAGTAAAGGAGTGGCTAAATAACTTATTTATGGCCTGTGATATGCACAAAGTCAAAATGGGTTTGTCTACCGGTTCCTTCTGACCTCAAATTATATTAATTGGTATATTGTAGATAGCCCCACCCCAAAGACAAATTCTGGAGAGCTGGGGCATTATCTGGTGTAGTTATTAGCTTGTGTTGTAGTTACTGGGCTCCTTTTAGCAGGAGAGTAAGGGTGAAGGTCCAGGAGCAAACTGGAGTTGAAGGAATTTTTGAGGAGGAGGATCAGAGACAAGTGCACACTTCACCATGACAGTCTGATCTCTGCACAAAGCCAAAGGATTCTTGGTTAATACCATTATGACCTGACTGGAATGTTCTTTCATGCTTTTCTAGACCCCTGGGGAAGGCTTCCTTGAAGGGGGGGCTACCAGAATGTTTCCATCTGTGCCTTAGATCTTGGTGTCGTGAGTGCGTTTGATTAATCATAAGTCATCCATTGTTCCCCCTAAAATGATGCTGTGTGGAAAATTCAGAGAAAGGAGAAAGTGGGACTTCCCTGGCTTTTTAGAGGGTTTTATCTGTGTGGCATTGCTGTGACTCTTTCAGACTGAGGTCGTGAGTAACTGTTTCTGTGTTTGGAAAAAATTGTATCTTCCCTGCTTCCCTCCACCCCTCTCCACTGCCGTGTGCAGGAACACGTGTGCACACATGGACATAATCTCTGCCAAACCCAGGAACAGGCAAGGACTTCAACCTCTACATCTGAAATGCCTTGAAAAGACAAAGGGCTGTCAAATGTATTGAAAAACTGCATCCCTTTGTATCTTCAGGTTTTTTTACATTCCTCTGTGTGTGTGTGTTTGTGTTCGCATGTGGTAGAAGGGACAGGTAAATTTAGTTTTGTTGGCTTTTAAAGCCCAAAACACCTTAAAAGGAGTTTGAGAACAGGAGAGGGAAGCTCACTGCAGAAATGTTCAGTAAGATAATGCTTACTTGAAGGCTGTTTCACTTTCTCAGTTTCTGGAGTGGATAGTTCTTGCTTTGATGTTGTCAGCTAGAAGGTACTGCTGAAAATTGAATGGGTTTTTCACTGTTTTCTTCTTTTTCTTTCTGTTTTTTTTTTTGTTCCTTCCCACCTTTGTTGCATGGAAAACCACCAAAAAACAAAAGGCTGATGACATCCAGTTCAGGTTCTTTAGGGATTCAGTCACACCAGTCTTGGAGGGCTATGGCCAATTGTTGATTACTTCTAGGAGTTTTCTAAATTAGGTGAGACATCAGGAGTTTTTCTATGACTCCTTAATTTATACACTTGAGTTGCAGAGGAGATTATTTGGTTTGGTTTTGTTTGTTTGTTTTTGTTTTTTTTTTTTAACAGGACCCCAATATTTTTCCCACAACATCACTTAAAGCTCTAGTTTTCTTTGGTTTCATTCTTGGTTGGATTTTCTGTTCACATACTGTGTAGAGCAGAAGTGGTAGAACCAAACTGTAGCTTTATCTGTAAAACTTGAGTTCTTCAGTTACAATTACAGTATCTTCAGTTACAATGAAACACACCTTTGGTATATAATGGAATTAATTTCTAGCCACTGTCTGAACATTTTTATATCTGAACTTTTCCAACATGAATAAGGTTTTCAGTCAAAAGATATCAATGTTATGAACAAGCCTTTTAACAATACAGTGAATAAATATATTGTTTTCTTCTTCTAACCTTGTATTTAAATGTGTTTTAAGTGAATGGAATTCATTCTTGTTAAGAAAAAAGGAAAAAAAAAGCTTGAAGGTATGAGGACTTCAGGTTGTGCTCTTGCTTTGCTTAGGTTTCCTGTTCTGTTGCATGACAACTTCTGTTGTGCTGTTGATATGTAGCACTTTTCAGTAGGTCTGTTAAATTGTGCAATGCATTTTTTTATATTTACAACCAAAACAATAAAGGATATTTTTTGGAAGAAACTGGTTGTACTGCCTTTGTTTTCTGACTGGAGGTGAGGAAATGGTAAGCAGAATTATTCCTAGACCAGGGTCTACACCTGGCATCCTTTTTGCAGCTCTAAGAGGTGACAAGAGCTCATTGCCCTGTGAACAGTGCTGGAGTTACCTTTGGACCTGTATGTTTGGCATCCCCAGAGCAGGGCTCTGTATTCTCTGTGGAGCTGCTGAAGTTTGGACTCCTTTTGGCATTGATATCTGTGTTAGGCACTGAGCTACTTAAGTTCATTTTAAAAATGAAATAAATAAATCTGCCTTTAATGACTGATTTTTGTTTTTCCCTGGTAGGACACTCCAGCTGTCTGTGCTTCAGTTGCCACCTCCCTGGTATTTTGGATTTTCTTGCCTAGTGGAAGCAGCAGTGAGGCTCTAGTTGAAGTGAAAGGTAATAGAAGAGTGAGAAGAAGGATTTTATTTTAAAATCACCGCAAAAAAGTTTGTGCTGGTTGATGTTATCCTTGTGATTGGTTCTTTTGATTTGGTGGTTCTGATGAGAACTTCTGATGAGTCAGGCCTGTGGTTCCAGGAGGTACAGCAGGGTTCAAAAACCATGCATTTAATTTTTCAGAAATCACAAGCTTGATCTCACATAAAGCATTTTGGTGGGAGTGAAGAGCAGTGCTATTTCAACAGTGGTAAAACAACTCTTCAGCCTTCCTCCACTCTTGACCAAGCACTACAAATGCCAGAGTTGTTGCAGTGATGGGGGGAAGCTGTGGCTGCAGAGCACTGTTTCCGTATTACTGATTTAGTGGTGATTTCAGGGAGGCTGCTGTAACTTCAGCTGAAGTGCCAAAAGAGTTTGTGAAGTGGTTTCTTTTTGTGGCTGGCTCTGCTATTCTTTGAACACTGCCAGAAGTGGACCTACACTTGCTCTGTGGAAATGATGCCAAATGAAATCACTGCTGTAAGAGATCAATGCTATAAGTGATTTCACAGCCCAGGGCTCTCTTTATTTCTGAAAGAATGGAATAGAATGCTCAGTAGATTTTTATTTGTTTATTTTAACCTATATTTTCCCTCAGGAGCTCATCTCTGCACTTTCTCCAGGAGGTGGGCAGACAAGGAGTGGTTATTTGGATGTTGGGGAAGTTCCCTGTGTGCAAACCCAGAAGAGCCCCTGTTGTCACCCAGAGAGATGTTTAACATGCTCCAGTTTCAGAACAAGGTGTGTGTGTCACACCCCCAGTGCCTTTCCACCACCAAATGGAAACAAACCCAGGAAAGATGAGACTCATCACATCCCTGGGTCCTTCTGACTCTCCTTACAGAGCCCATCTGTGGCTCCTCCATCCCAACCTTTCATTCCTCATAGGCCTCAAAAGCTTTGTTTCCAACCAGGATAAAAGGGAACTGCACATCAGGAGGTCTTTGCTGGTGACCAGATCATGATGACAGCAGAGATGCTCCCTGTGGCCCAGGTGTTTCCCCAGCTTGCAGCCCTCCAGGGCTGGGGAGGATTTATCTGAGCCCTGGTAACCTTGCACCAGCAAGGCCACAGGGCTGCAGGTGTTCTCTCACTGTTCTGCCTGGGGCTGGTGCCTTTCCCTCTCTGCAGTGACTGTCTGAGTGTTCCCCCCTGGGGAAGAACATCTCTTCTTTCCCAGGTAGCTCTTCCCACGACGTTTGGACAGACCTTCTGACTCACTTTGGCATCTTGTTAGCACTGCTGAGGAAGCATTTCCCTTTCTAAGGAAAACCCTTTTGTTGCGCTATTTGTATCTTTAGAAGGTGAAACAAAAGCCATGCATGGGAGGGGAAACCACAGGGAGCAGCCCTGTATAATCCTCTGGTTCAGCAAGGCTTAAGTGGTTTGTGTCAGTCCTTCACAGCGGTGATGTTTAAGCCCTCAGGGTATGACTGTTTTCCTCCTCTGAGAGGTTTGCTGACCCACCTGAAAAGGTCAGGCAGGTGTTGCTTCAGCCTTGGGGATAAGCACCACCTCAGGCAGTGACTATTTTTTTTTCCAACCACTCTTCTTTTTTCTACTAAAAATGAAGGAGAGGAGGTTGGCGTTTTGCCTTCTTTGTGCCACCACTATGTGACATCTCCACAGCTGTGTCTGAAATGGGCCCTGTTTGGGAGGAATTCTTCCCCTGGCTCCAGCAAGGAGCTTGGTCCCTCAGTTCCTCTTGGGAAACTTGAGTGCTTTTCTAGGATCCCCCCTCAGACTCTTGGGGGGCTGGCAGTGTAACTCAGCTGATATCAAACCCACTTTTCCTGGAGAAGTCTGAGCAGAACAGGGCCAGTGCAAAGTATATTGTAAAAAAGAATTTGTAAAAAGATAATCCAGCAATATTTGTTTTATTTAATATTTTAATTAAGTTCCAGTTTCTATCCAAAGGTGGTAACATGAAATGAGTAAAAGCATTCATCTACTAAGTAACAAATAGATCCCTTTCAGTATTAAAATATAAGAGTTTAAAATATGAATAAATAAATATATAAACTAATTGCTTAAATAGATTTATAAAAATAGATGTTATATAAATTCATAAATAAAATTCACTAGTAGAGAGGGAAGTACAAAATCAGCCTGCTGACAATCAATTTTTCTTTTGAAAAACAACTGCAAGATAAAAATATAAATAACATTAAAATTACTGAAATTACACTTTCCTGATTGCTTATATATGTCAGGGCTGGTTAATTGACTCACTTTAGTCCATCCCTATTATATGCTGTTGCAAATAAGACAATATAAATAGTTTTATAATAAATACATTCAATAACACATTCCTCCTTTAAATATTAAATTAAACTGGATTATATAGTTCTAGAGAATAGCTAGTACATCATCAATGTTCATCCTGGCATCAAACTGATCCCATAACCCCTGGTAGGTCTCATTTACCGAGACTTATCTTCAAGTTACTTTTTCATTCTAGCATATCAAAAGGCTCCTTCAGAGTACAGCTTTCCTGTGAGTTGCATGATGTCCTCATATTTCTTTAAAACCCACCAGATGTAGGTTTTTGTGTCTGCCTGGCTCATGGTGTGGCCCTGGGGCAGGTCCTGGTTGCTGCAGGTGTAGAAGGCAGCGCCTTGGCGCACCGTGGTGCTCAGCTGGTTGAGGTTGTCCTGGACCACGCCTTTGGAGCTCTTGCTGCAGAAGGTTTCTATGTTACCTCCCAGGGTTTTCAGAGTGTTGAGGATGTGGTGCAAAGCACAGCAGTTTGCCTGGAAAGCTGGACATGTGGGTATTCTGTCTGCCATGTCTCTGGCCTTGGACATAACTGTCTGGGGCTTAGGGTGGAATGTTGCAGAGATGCACTTGTCCTGTGGGCAAGGAAGAGGAGAGAGAAATTGTTAAATTGTTGATCCTTTGGTTTCCCTTTCTCATTTGTGTTTCAATCTTGTATTAACACCTCCATCCCTCTGATCAAGCAGGCATTGCACAGAGTTTGCAGATCCCCATGCCTTGTTTGCCTTGGTTCTCAGCTTTTCTAAGCCTTGGATTCTATTCTTTGCTGTAGGGGCAAAATTTACCTATTTCAGATATCTGGTGTAGCCAGTGTGTGTTTCCAGCTGTTTCAGCAGAGATGGTTTTGATTTCAAAAATGAATTCAGAGGAAATGTCAATGTTGATTTTTATCAACCTACTCTTGGGAACACAGTCCCAGGAACTGAACTTTGTCTGAGGCATTGGCACCTGGGTTCAGTCAGCTATTTCCTTTCTAAGGAAAGGATACGTGAGCAGGATTTTTAGCAGAAGTGCTCAAGCACTAGGGTCAGACTGAAGGGCAAAGCAATTCTCACCACATTTCCAGTGATCTGACTAAATTCCTGCAAGAAGATGCCCAACAGGACTCAGCAGACTAAGAAGGAACACTGGGAATCAGGAAGATCCCAGCTGGCAATGAGCTGAGGCAAAGCTATCCAAGTTCTCTGCAGCTGCCCTTGCTCCAACTGCCCTGAAATACCACAATGAACACTTTCCTTCTTGCATGAAATACAAGGACCCTACTTTAGGTTTTAACCCAAATACTTCTTTTCTGGTGGTCTTTCCAGTGTTTTATAACAATTCAAGAGATTTCTCCACAGACATAGGCACAGCACATGGAAAATGGTGCACTTACATAGAATTCAAACAACTCATGAGCTTTCTGTTGTATTACTGATGCGAAGGTTGGTATCTCTGTAGTGAAGCGATTCTGCCTCTCTCCTGTAGTCACTCTGCTTTCTGATGTCTCTGTCGGTGCCATGGAGCCCAAAGGAACCAGTAAACAGAAGAGGAAGATTGCAAATCTGTTGATCTCTGCATTCAGATGAAGAGAGGAAACCAAAAGGAAAGAGAATACAATGATTAGTCCCAATCTTCTGCATAGCCTTTTGCAAATTGTAATAGTTTTGTGCAATGTGATACATTTTTAAAGCATATAGGCATGAAGTGGCTGAGCTAGAGGTGAGCATCAACCAGAGCAACCTTACAGCCTGTAGCAAGGTACGTCACACCCACCTGCTCTGCATTCCATGGTGGGATGGGACAGCAGTGGCTTGGCTGGGAGCTGGTTTTGGAGCTGGTTCTGGAGCTTCTGCCTGCCTGGAGTGCTGTGGATGGGGCCAGCCAGGCTGCATTTAAGTGCTGTGGAGTCCTGCGTCAGTGGCTCCCCCACAGTATTTTTTTTTTTTTTTTTTTTGCCAGTGATAATTTGGGTTTTTTTCTTTTTTGAAAGATTACATCAAAAGTTGATTCAAATGTGTCTTCACTGATTGTGATCTACGTGCACGGTTTCAAACTGACATAGAGGGTGTCCTGTGTCATCTCTGTGACTCGGAGCTCGCCTTGGCCATCCCATCTAAGTCCCTGGGCTCTCCAAAGTGTGGGATTTAGAACATAAACTCTTGTTTTATTTGTAAAGGTGGTTGGAAGCACATTATTGCTACCCAAAGCCATTGCTTCTCCTGCAGAGTCAGTGTAAGAGTTGACCCAATGTAGGGAGTGAAAAAGGCTTGTGTGCAAG